ATCCGTATAAATATAAATAAGCAAAACCCCAGCATCAATCAATCAATTGGGGCTGCTAGTGGAAAGGTTACCATTTCCTGTATAGGAGGATTTGGCCGCCATCTTGGGCTCGGTAGGAATTCCGGGTTCGAGTCCCGGGCAGTCCAATCATCTTTTTTTATTTGCAATTGTTTTCTTCTATGCTCTTGATGCTCTCAATGTGTTTCGAAAGAGATACTTTCGTGCGTACAAAAGCCGTAGCATCTGCAAGAGGCGAGAAGAGCCGAGTGACGCCTGAGTATGGGAGACAAGCTTGCTTGCTGCGCCTCGGCAAGACCACAGCAAGCCAGCCTCGTGCGGGATAGGTTCGCCAGAGAAACGCCAATTTTACTGCCAAATCCATCCTGTCCCATCCCAAGGCTAAGAAGTATGCAGGCAAGCTACCAGGAATGATCCACAGATGTGAAGCCGCGCTCCAGACATTGAAGGATCTGCTGCTCGCAGCCCTAGTTCTGATGATCCTGATATCCGGTCGCCCTTTCTCGTTATATGTAGACGAAGCAATGAAAGAGGGCACAGAGCAGCATACACCACTGGTGCCAGAAGAACAAGAATAGCGTAGAGAGACTAGTGCTATTTATTTCCCAAGGCCCTCACACCGCCCGAACACAACTCCTGGACCAATGAAATGAAGACCAACTTTTTGATTGGAATTTGCTGGGGCTAGCTTTGTTTGAGGCGCAGACATCTTTGATTGCTTAAAGACAACAGGTTTGCAAAAAAATGCATGTGCAGAACATAATAGGTTAACAGTAAGCACTGGAGGAAGATGCAGCTCTAAATAGGATGCACCGGGTGGCAATTGCTTGTGTGACATGGGCAGCTCATGCCTTTGCACGTTTGAAGGAGTGTTTGCGCTACCATACCTGCTGGACAGCACAGAACTCTCAAGAGTCAGGCCCAAACCTTCCCTGGCCACTTGACTAGAGTTGACTGGAGGACCTTTGACACGGACCAGTGATCTTGCCATCATATACTGTGCACAAAAGATGGCTTTCCACCCACCTGCTCATGGTCAGACACCAGCTTCCACCAGTGGCATCTCCCTTTCCAAGCACACATAAGCCTGTAAAGAAGTAATCGTGCAAGCCGCAGACCAAAAGCAAGCAAAAGTCAAATCCGAAACAAAGCGAGGGCTTGGAAGAGAGGAGATTCATATTCATACCCAGCCGCTAAAATGCCAACCAGCCTATCAACACCTAGTACACATCTCTCCATCTTCCTCCCCTACATATCAATCAAGTATGCAAATTCCACCGTCACTCCCCCTCGCTTTCGCTATGCAGCATTGTTTTACAATTGTATGGTACACCTCCCCACTCTGTATCTCGAATCGCCTCTCTCCCTTGAACCCCATCCCGGCGGTCGAACATTTACTCGTTGATCTTGGCCAAGATGCTACGTGGAAGGTTAGTGGTTGTTGCTTGCCACGCCAAGTGATAGAGTCATAAGGCAATGGGTTGGTAAGACTTACTCATGGTCCCGGAAAAGCGAATACTCCTCATCTCCAACCTTGACTGGTGATCCACCGTACTGTAAAATGACCGTGTCAGCGTTTTGCCCACAAGACCTGATGCCAATCCAGGAATTTGAAAAGCCATAAGCAAGCGTGACATGTCATCTCTCTCCTTTCCTTCTCGCCATTCCGCCAATTCCGTCATCCTCCCTCAACTTGTCCGCCGAGATATCCGAATCCCAGCTTCACACCCCTTCCATACACACACCCAAACCAATACCTTAATCCTACAGCCTAATTCCTCAACCGTATATCCGCAAATCTACATACCTGAGGAATCAAAACCTTGTCACCTGGCTGCACACTACAAGCAACTCTCTTGCCATCCTTATCCAATCCACCGGGACCAACAGCAAGGACCTTCGCCTCGTTCAACTCCTTGACGCTCGATTCTGGGAGGAAGATGCCGGATGCGGTCTTGGCTTCGGCTTTGATGCGTTGGACCAGGACGCGGTCGAGGAGGGGAGCGAGGGATCTGATGGATTTGAGTGCTGTAGACTTTGTGATTTGTTAGCAGTTGAGCCTATGTAGAGCCTTGATTGTGAATAAGGAACCGTGAGGCAGGGGAGAGGAGGAGTAACAGCAGGCGCAGAAGGAGAGAGCTCATGGCATGAGCTGACTCCAACCGCATTCTGAATCATAGCGTGAGTCGCAGACATACCATCTTGACGGTTGTGTAAGCTTGAAGCTTTGGATTAAGAGCGATTGGATTGTTTGCAGGAAATTTGAAAACGTGGTATGAGGAGAGAAGGTGTTTATTTTCGTTGTCCGCAGAAGCTTCGAAAGGCTTCGGGAGACTTTTTTCTGTAGCCGAATTGTGCACGGACTTTCCGGGGTTCGACCAATTAGCTTGGAGTTGATGGAGCTGCCCCTGAGCACACTCGAGGAATGTCCGGCTTGAAGAACGACAATTTGATGGTCGTCTTATTCTATAGAAGCATGATACTTGGGAGTGTGGAGAATCGCTGCCAGGAATGCATGCAAGAATTGTATGTTGTTTTTTGAATGACAAAATTAGATGCTCTTCAATATTGAATTACTAAGACGACTTGAATCATCTGTCTTATTTAAAATACTGTAGTAGATTTGGCCTCTCTGGACATTCACAAATCGATGATTAACGAATTAAAAGTCTTAATATGTGATGTAATAGTAACAGGCGTAATCCATAACACCGTCCATCCATGATCCTCCTGATCGTTCTTCTGTCCAAAGGCTCAGATCTCGGCGTTTAGCTGGGAGTCAATACCCCGGGATATACAATCTACGAACAGCTTCTCGTGCATATGAGAAGGTCTTCTATGAACAGCACTATCCAGGTGCTCAACGATCCTAATAACCCAATCTCTGCATGAACCCATCCCAAAACTCCGTCCTCAAGTCAATGCAACCCTTGTGCCGATCCGATTTGAAGCGTTGAATTGAACTAATTTCATCACTTCCCCGGTGGAGGCTGCGATGCTGGAGGTTCCAAAGTATGTGTATGTCCAGGAGCGTGATACACATCACCTCCGACTTGACGACAGATGTTCGTTCCGGACACCCATGGATCATCCAGGACTTCTTCCAGAGTTGCCCGCTTCTTCGGGTCAATCTCTAGCATTCGTCCTATGATATGTCTGCTTTCTCTCGGCAACAAACGTAACAATCGCCACGGACCTTTGATAACCTCTGGTTTCACAGGCGCAATCGCCCCATTTGAAGTGTTTATGGGTATTTCGGGTTTCGGAGCTGGCTTCGACTCCGGAATAGCATCTCTTGCTGGCACATCTAAGTCGTTTGTGGACTTGGATGGGGCAGGTGTGTCGGACAACCGTCTGATATCTGTTCCAGGTGTGGGCGGGGATGCAAATAGCTTATACGAATTGTCTGTCATTCTTGGCATCTTCCAAGGGAATCTGCGTAACGACATGCAACAGAAAATTATAGCAAGAGACCAGATATCCGCAGGTTGAGGATCGTATTTCCTTTCGTCGTAAACTTCAGGAGCGAGATATGGATCAGATCCGACGATACCTATGTATTATCAGCCGAAAGTTCGGACAAAAGCGAAACGTCAGAACTCACCACTAGCAAGTGTGATCCCGTTCTCGAAGGGATATTTGAAAACGCTCGCACTGCCAAAGTCGATAATCTTCATGATCCCATGCTCGTTGACAACCACATTATCCAACTTCAAATCTCGATGTGCCAGACCCATGCTGTGCAAGTATGTAACACCACTCAATATCTGCAAGAACGAGCAACTAATCTCCTCTCTCGACATCTTGCCCGTCATGACGATTGCGAAAAGATCATATGGGGCGTATTCCATGACTTCGTACCACTTCCCCTTCTCGTGCACAATATCTAGTGTCTCGATGATGTTGCCATGGTGTAACGTCGAACCGACACAGAATTCTGCCGTGACCTTCTTGGCGTATTCTTTCTCCGTCTCGTATGAATGCCGAGCTCGGAACTCCTTCACAGCAAAAGTCGTTCCGTCACTACTCCTCTTCATGAGACGAACTGAGCCTCCAGCTCCAGCTCCGAGCACCTTTCCGAACTTACCGTATTTCGATTGTAGGCCATGATCATCACCGAAAGGTAGCTGTTGGGGAGTCCTGTGGTGTGGAGGTGTCTTTGTGCCCGACTTTCCCGACTTTGCTGATGGTGTAGGTGACGCTGTTCGCTTTGACTTGTGATGCCCACCAATCTTCAAAAAGCGCTTCAACTCGGACATCGATCCGTGTTTGCTCGAGACCGTCGAAGAACTCTCATCATGCAAGTGAGAGAGGTGGTCTTTGTGCCCCCCACCGAAAAGATGCGAGTGCCTTTTCTCTGACAGGTTGTTGCTGCTACTGCTACTGTGCACATCAACAGCACTTCGTGATGATCGAGGAAGATTGGTAGAGGATGAGCTCGGCGTTGCTCGGTGTTTCGATCCCAATGCAGTAAATTTGAATCTTGGATCTATAGCGTCCAGATTCCGATTTGGAGGGGCGCGTTTGCTTGCAGCATATGGGTCGTTGGGTTCACCAGCAGGCGTGAACGGTCTGCTGTAGACTGGTGCCGTCACTCTGGAAGGACTGGTCTCCCGCGACACTGGGACTGAGGAGTCATGAGTACCAGGACCGATCGAGAAAGCACTATGTCTTGACGTAGCACCGTACTCTGACACGCTCGTCGGTCTTGTCGTCACTCCCGAAGATCCGGGTCGGGAGTCGTCGATGTTTGTAGTCGACGGGGATGTCCCAGGTGGTGAGATTTGTGGAGTGACAGCTGCCGCGTCCTCCTCCGCATCCACCTTTTGGAGTGGCGCACCTTTTGCAGTTCCCTCCACGGCGTCTCGCGATCTCGTCGCCGCAGGTGTAATAGGCGGTGAGTGCATCGAAGACGGTCGGGGACTGTGGTGCGGTGATGGTCTGCCGGACGAAGTGTATGTATTTTGTCGGCTCGTCTCGCGTGAACTATCTTCGTTTGAGGCAACCTGCGCAAATTCGGATCAGTCCCGAGAACTTTAAGACGAAGAAGAGGGCACAAAGGAAATATATAGGAAAATGCAAGAAGGTGGGGCATCCCGGGAGGCTTTCTCATTAGTGCGTGGGGGTG